CACTGCACTGTAGAAAATATTAATGATGTATCTAAAAGTAAATTAAGTGAGAATAACTAGGCCATCAAGTTACAGAAATTACATGAAATGTATAGTGATTGCTTAGCTTCCCAAGCAGCAAAATGTGATTATAATTTTCTGATCTGTTTGATCACAGTAGCTTTCAGGTACCAAAATACACACTGGAGTTCGAATTGCTTACATTTTGTAGGTACCTTGATTTTATATAATCATGTATCTAATGTTTATAACTGCATATATTTGCAGGCACCCACAGACAACCCAGGTAGAAATGTATCAACACAGTATCAACATGCGTCAGCCCAGGGAGCCAGAAACTCCTCTGCAGTTTGTTACTCAGGCAGCCACTAAGACCAGAAGGTGGGATATTGGAAAGAAACTATAGGATTTGGGGTACAGTTGGGTGATTTGAGAGAGGGTCTGAGGAAGCCAGGATTCACTCTAGGTTGGATGCTGATGGAGAGCAGAACCGTCTTATGATTGGGTAATTCAAGAGCTCATCATCTAAGGGGAGGGAGACAAGAGTGAGACTAAAGCTGTGATTGGTACGGAAGTAGTAGCCCTCATTATGGTCAAGAGATTGGGCTCTTTGGTATTTTGTGGGTGGCATGGTAACCTTGTTTGTATCTGTGCTTAGATAAAATTATGAGGTGACCTTGCTTGGTCTTTATCTTGCTCTCAGTAGCAGCCTTGTCTGAGACTGGTATTCAGTGGGATGGCTGACATCTAAGGGGAACATAACCTGGTCTCGCTGTGAGAGCTGGGCCAGCGTCTGGACGTCAGGGGCTGCTCTGTCCCATCTCCGTAGCTGGAGTCACTCGTATTCGCTAACTGGCAGGTCCCTTGGCAGCCAGGACAAGTCAGCCTCAGGCTGGGCTGGATAAGAAAGCAGAAAGGGAATATTCTCCCTGGAAACCGTGGTTCAGGACTGCTCGTGGGCCCAGTGCTAGCCAGCTGACCATCCGAGGGCTGACTCTCTCTTCCCGTCTCATGCTTGAGGACCGTGTTGCTTTCTCTACTGCCATTACACGAGCTTTTGATCACAAAACCTAAGCAAGATAGTAACTTTTCTCCTGATAAAAATGGTAACAAATGTAGTTTTTATTTCCTTTTGTTTGACAGAAGCATTCTTTTAAAATAATATGTACAAGAATCCTTCTATTATGCTGCTCTGATCACCACTATGCATTGCTGAAAGTCGTTTGTTTCCATCTGGTCCTGGTCCTACTCAGTTCCCTCTTTTTTTTTTCCTAGGAAATGAACATCTGTTCTTTCTGGCATTTGGAAGATTCTCTCTGATGCCCTATTCAGACAAGCTTGCTGCTTCCTCCTTACTCTTTGGAGAACATCTTCCAGCATCTCTATACCCATTAGTATGACTGGAATGGACCAACATCAAAATTAATTCATGCAATATTTTATGATACACTCAATTTGTTCTTATTACAAAACTTGAGAATACTCCACTATCACTGTCAGTGTGTGTGTTCATACAGCTTTGTCCTAGGCACTGGGACTTTGGGGTGTGGAGATTAAGAGCCTAGCCCCTTGCCAGTGGTGCCCCCACAGGTAGTTACTTGATCTCTCTGAACACTGTGCTCTTTCTGTCTAAAATGTGAGTGGTCATGCTAGCACTTACCCTCTGGGCCGCTGGAAGGTTATTGAGACAATCATAACTAAGGGCTTAGTGCTGTGCTTGGTGCGGTGAACACTCAGAGCCACTCTTGACCTTGGAGGATCGAGGGGTGAATTACTGTATGCTCTCTCCCCTCTGAACATTGACCGGCTTCTCTACAAGCCAGCCATTGGAGGCCTCTCCCTTAATCTTTGGGAAGCTTTGGGATGTGGGAAGAGGAGTTCTGAAGAAGGCATTGTCCACGTGAGCTCTGGTGCAGGTGCTGGTGCAGGCTGAGAGGGGAGGGAGAAGAGTGAGACTGGGAGACGGCATGGGAGTCTTGGCATTGACAAGACAATGCCAAGTGCTGGATGGGACAGAGGGCAGCATCATGGGCAGCTCCTTGTGGCCAGAATATGGATGGGGCTTGGAGGGTGGGTGGTGCTGGGGACTATGACTGGAGGGTAGGGACCTGGAGCCAACCTTTATACCACCACAGCACCCCCTTTCAAGAAGCCACTAAAATTATTTTTGGAAAAAATGAAGTGGTCTTAGTCCATTTTATGTGGCTATAACAGAATACCTGAGACCAGGCAATTCACAATGAACAGGAATTTATTGGCCTTGTGGTTCTGGAGTCTGGATGCATCTTTGGGTGCATGCACATTTATACAGTTATAAACAGTCCATATATTTATATAAAGTAAGGGTAACTACAAAATTTGGGCAATGTAGGATTGAGAGGACTCATCTTGCTGAATCCTAACATGGCCAAAGTCCTTTAATAGCCTCAAGTCCTTTAATAATCGTCATCCATCATTCATCAGGGTGGTGCTCTGATGGTCTGAACGCCTCCCAGCATTGTTGCATTGGGGATGAAGTTTCCAACAGGTGCTTTTTGGGAGATATATTAAAACCATAGCAAGGGAGAAGGGAAACTAGAAAAGAGGCAGAGAGTTCACTGTTGGCATTCATAGGTCATGCTGACCGTTGTCCAGGGCAGCCCCGCCTCTCTTATATGATTTCTCCTGCTCCTCATTCCCTTGTCCAATCCTTCTATCACCCCTCTCCATTTTAGAGAACCCATTTTTTTTTATATACACTTGATGCATGGTCTTAAATATGCTTGGATCCTTGTGAACCACAGCATTATTTTATGCATGTTTTTCATTTAACTACATGGCATTCTGCTATCAATCATTTCCTCTGATTTTCTTTTTTCAATATAAAGTATCCATGTTGCCATAAGCACATGTAGTTTATTACTTCAAACTGTTGCATAGTCCACACATAGCAGACACTGTAGCATTATCACAACAGTTTGGAGCAGCCTAAATACTGCACACTAGGGAATGGTTAAGTACCCTTGTACATCAGTGGTGTGAAGTAGCATTCTTCCAGTAACTATAGCTCTAGATACCATGGGAAACATGTTTATGGCAGACAAAATGTCTTCATACTGTGAAAACAGCTGCATAAAAATACATATTCATATAAGCAAGGACTGGAAAGGAACAGGGGAAGAATGAGAACAGTTTTGTGTGACAGAGCGAGAGACTGCAGGCAAAGCTGCTTCTTCTTCTTCTTCTTCTTTTTTTTTTTTTTTTTTGACAGGTAGAGCTACAGACAGTGAGAGAGAGAGACAGAGAGAAAGGCCTTCCCTCTGTTGGTTCACTCCCAAAATGGCCAATATAGTTGGCACTGTGCCGATCCGAAGCCAGGAGCCAGGTGCTTCTTCCTGGTCTCTCAAGCGGGTGCAGGGGCCCAAGCACTTGGGCCATCCTCTACTGCACTCCTGGGCCAGCAGAGAGCTGGACTGGAAGAGGAGCAACCGGGACTAGAACCCGGCGCCCATATGGGATGCTGGCGCTGCAGGGAGAGGATTAACCAAGTGAGCCACCGCGCCCCGCCCATGAAGCTTCTCTTATAGCTGTTAGTATAGGACCATGCTGTGCCTGGGGATTTGCCCTGTACACCATAGCTTTTCCCATAGTACAGTACTGAGGGAGGGCATATATCTGTTGTTTGGCCCAGAATTGGCACAGGGCACCCCTCCTGAACTGAGAAGGCCTGCTCTCCACCAGGTGTGTCCTGCGATCCATGTTAGTGACATTTATGTCGTCCTATGGGAAATAGGCTTGACATTACAAATCTTTGCAGTAGTCTGGGGCAGATCTACCACTGTCAAATGTTAACTCTTTTCCAGATTAAGCAAGAAAAAGCAAAGTACATAGCAGTCACGCATACCATTCTCCCACTTCTGCAAAAAATAAGACCCATGAACTTGTACTTGCATGGGAGATCTCAAAAAATAGACAAACCATCAACAGTAATTGCCCCTGGGGAGAGGTATTCCAGATCTCAGGTGGGAAAGAGACACACTTTACAGTATAAAAGAAGGATTTTTCTCGTTCATCTTAAAAACCATGTACCAAGCATTACTTTTTCAATTAAAATTTGTTTTAAAAGTTTAACCTCCCCAACCCCAATTTCATGATACTTTTGAAACACTGTTTTTAAAGTGTCATACTTTTTAACTCATTACAAAGAGCTTTCTTAGATATAATCATAGTCCGTGCTCCAAGTTGTTCACCTTTTTGGTGATGAGGACTAACCTGGGTCTGAGGACTGCTGGCAAGTGGGGCACACATTAATCCGACATGAATTTCAACCCACAATGCCACTGACACATCACATTCAAAGAACGAAGGGCCATGTCTAAGTTACTTTAGGATCTGGGTGTGACAACCGCTGTCCTTAACACAGGCTTGCTCTTGTTACCCAAAGCTCCATCCTTGTCAGTGGTGCCAAATCAAAATAACCAGGACAAGGTTTGAGGATAAAGAAACGAGAAAGCTTAATCTACAGGTGGATGAGAAGCTAGCAGATCCACATCTCAAGAACCGGCTTCCTGCTGAGCCCCCCACCCCCCACCCCGCCCAGGCTTTTCAGGAGGTTGCAAAGGAGGTCACACTGCTGAGCGAGGTGCTGAAGCTGAGTACTGCCTATGATGAGTCTGATACCAGGGTTATCCTGGATGCCAGGGCAGCTACTTGGAGATTCCATGGCTTGACTTTATCAGGAGGAAGACACAGCAGGATATTCCGTACAATTAAGTAGCTACGAAACGTTACTTGGCTGAGAGCTGAAAGGGAACAGTATTGAGAGACTCCAGTGTTTCATTAATTAGGAGGCAGCCCACACAGCCTAGAATCCATGCCTTTCGCCTCTTGAATTACTCATACCCCTTTGCATTCTGTTAAAATAATTTCAAATATCGGGCGCAAAGATTACTTTGCAACTGCAGCCGGCTTTCTCAAGGCCAGCTTCTGGAAATCACAAGCAAGCACTGCTTATCTGATGGAACTCTTTGGTCAGTCTCAGGCTCAATGGTGTGCAGTTGTTCAGCACGCAGGAAAAGGAAAAGGAAGACCTATTTGGTCCCGTTACACTGCGGGAGGCGGCGAGCTGCCTCTGCCCTGCGGGCCCCGCCGCCCAGTCGCTGGAGAGCCGCAGGGCAGTCGCCCGCCCGCGGTCAAGGGGCGGAGGGGAGCGCGCGAAGCAGAGCTCCGGGCGCCTCGGCCTGGTTCTCAACTTCCTAGGCGCTCAGCAAGCGGCGGGCTGCACCCGGAAACGCAGCCGCTCGGCCCGTGCCGCCTCCGGGGCCCAGCGCGCGCCACCCGGAACAGCCCCTCCTCCCGCCATTTTCGGCAGCCGCCGAGCTGCGGCCGGCGGGTGCGGGGCCTGGGATGCCGCGAGGGCCTCCGACGAAGCAGGCAGCCATGGCCGCGGGCGTGGACTGCGGGGACGCGGCGGGCGTCCGGCAGCACGTGTTCCTGCTCCCAGGTAAACACGCCCCCGCGCGGAGCGGCGGGGCGGCGGGGCGGCCGGCGGGGCCGGGCTCGCAGGTGCTGCGCTCCCGACCCCCGTGCGCGCCGCCCCGCGCTCCGGCTCCCGCGCGCCGCCGTCCTGGGCGCGGGGCCGAGTTCCTCCCAGGGGACGGCGGGATCTGCATCTCGGCCACACGGCCTAGGCAGGCGCCGTTTGGAGACCCGGAAGCACTGTGGGGCGGCGGGTCCTGGGTCTCGGCCGCTCTGCATGGCCGCCCCGGGTGTCTGCCCAGGGAGGGGTAACTTGGTGTCCGCCGCTAGGCAGCTGGCCCAGCGACGGGGGACCTACTAGATAGGAGCCAGGGGTGCGAGTAGGCCCAGAGTTGCCTTGGAGACAGTCCTGGGACAGGCCTGGGCTGGCCAGGCAGCAGGGAAACCGGAGGAGGGTCGCTGTTGGGCCAAACGCCATTTCTGGAGAGTGATGTTCCCAGGTGGGCCAGAGCCACGTGTTGCAGCCTCCCTGTGGATCTGACCGCTTTGGTGGTGTAGCCGTGGGGAGAAGATGCCCTGTTCGCTGTATCTGAAGTTGAGATACAGGTCCGCAAACGCGGAGTGTTTTTTGCAGCAAATACACTCTGATGGTGATACTGGTCTGGTTTCCCAGGAATGGTAGATTTTGAAAATGGCTACACGGCAGTCAAGAGTAGTTTTTGCTTGTGTGTTTAACTTTCCCTTCTGACTGTAGAGTGGATGAGTTTTGAGCATGCGGTTCACCAGAGGTAGAACTTTCTGAGCCGCTCCTCAAACCTGCTCTTGGGGCCCCGGTCACCAGAGAGTGGATATGCCTGTTTTGGTTGGGAATGCACCCCGTTGTGCCTGGCCTTTTTGCATTGCGGGTCTCTGAGATGCATCCACAATTACTTAGCAGTGGTTGGTTTGTTGGCTGCTTGGTGTTTTTGCAGCTGCTGCTGTTTCCCTGTGAGCATTTGGATTATTCAGTTGTGAATTAGACTGCAAAGAGCATCGTTTTTTTCCCGAGGTTTTTGGTAGCTACAAGCGCTCATTTCTCTGGGATGTGTTTCCTGAAGTGGCGAGGCTGAATCTGGGTGCTTGCGTGTTCATGTCCAATAGCCAAGTGGTTTTCCACCAGCAGCGCATGGACTTTGGCAGGTTGGCGGGAAAATGGAATGGACGCGTAGGAGACTCTCCGTCGCTCCATATCCTCGATGGATGTGCTTCCATGGTAAAACACCTGACGCAGAATTCAGGGTTGGACGGACTTTAGCAACAGGCTGCCTGGGTACATGGGATTCGCTTTTCGTCAGACAAATCCTTTCTTCCAGTTTCGTCACCCCAGTACAATTACTTACATTTGCAGGGTAGAAAAACTACCCATGCTTTCAGAATCCAGTGCGGTTTCTGCGTTATCATTCAGATACCCATAATAGCCGATGATCCTTTCAGTTTCTCAGGTTGTTCTGTTGATTCAGTGTTGATCTGTCTTCACTGAAGTGCGTTTGTGTCCTCCTTGCAGTGAACACAAAAATCTTCAAAAGAATTAAATATTCTTGTGTCCCCAGCGTAGCAGGTTTAGGTTATCGGGTTGTGGGAAGAATTTCAGTCCGTTGGATGAGATGCACTGTGACCTTTAAAAACACTGGAGGTTCAGCTGCTCTTAGGGAACCGATGGGACTGTGTGGCCTGGCCTCCGGATAGCCGGTTCCTGGGCAGTGACAACTTCAGCCGCCTTCCCTCCAGTTCTTCAGGCGGCCTTTACTGCCACCTACAGGCTCTACGAGGACAAACATAGATTAATGGTTAGAGAAGTGCAACAGTGGTTCCGCGAACTTGAGGCACAGCCATCCACCCCATCAGCTTCTCAATCTGTAGTCCTGGGCTGAGGCCTGAGAACGTGCGTTTCTAACGAGGTCACTGCTGCTGCTGGTCTGGGGACTGCCTCTGGGAACCCCGACACTGAGGACCAGCCCTTGAGAGCTAGTATGGGGTATGAAGATGGCCAGACAGAGGTTTGGCTCTCTCTGTGGCCGGCCAGAGTTGACGTGGCCGGGGTAGGAGGCCCATCCTCCCAGATGCACTTGTTATCTTTCCAGCAGATGGGAAGACAGCCCAGTTAGTTATGCATTCAAGAGCAGGGGACTACCTACCCTCACCACTGTGAGGATCACACTGTGGCTTCGGTGAAGTTGGACCCTTAATAAACAAAAAATGCATTATGTAAAACTTTACGAAGTGCAAGGGTACTTCAGAAAGCCTGTGGAACTATGAAATTAGAATACAAGATTTGTTTGGTGTAAATATTTTTTGAAATCCATGCATCATTTTCCCATAATACCATAGAACGAACTTGCTGAAGTACCCTCTTGTTTGGTAGAGACAGCCTGTATTCAGTTTTAGAAAACTTCTGGGTCTGGAGAACTTCTCTCCGTGCACTGGAAAGTGAGTGCATTGTTCAACAGGCCAACAAACTTTTAAGGGATTTATCCATGAGAGAAATGCAAAGCCCCCTAACCTTGGGATGGCACTTGTTGCCAATACTTAATTCCCATTACATGACAAGCTGCCTACCACAGCAGTATATTTTATCTCAAAGGATGTATTTAAAAGTTGGATTTAGGTTGCTATGCCTCTCATTTCAATTTGTTTGGAGAAACCGAATATTCCAGAAAAACAAAAGCTGGAACTTGGAAGGGATGCTTGTGGGGTTTTCAGCCTCAGGACGGTGGTTTTCATAGGCAGGTGGAGACAGAACTGCACCCTAATTCAGCACACTCAGCCTGCCTTTGAGTTGGGATGGTCTGAAATGTTTCGAGCATCTGGGGAACATGAGCCTATTTGCAGTATTAGCTACAGAGACCATTAGCGTTTCTGTTTTTTGGGAATATGTTAGAAGTTCCCATTCCTCTTTGTTGCTGTAATAGTATGTGTCACAGTCATGTTTTTAATATTCTACAGTCCAGGTTTTGTACACTTAACCAGTTCCACTAAGTTAAGCTGGAGCCTGGTGTAAGGTCAGTAGATCCAGTGAGTATAGGATGGAAGACTGCATTGATTGTTGTCAGGAGCTGATCCATTCACAGGGTTTATCTCCAAAGAGATATTAAAACATTGAGAAACTATACATGTTGTGTGAGGAAAAAAAAAAAAACACATAATTTCAGGACCATTAATAAAACTCATTTGTTCCCAGGTAGGCAGATTGAACCATCAGCAATGCTTATCAAGTCCCAAGAGCACACTGGGCTTCAGATAGAATTGTCAATTATGTTGTTTTGCAATAAAGTTATTCCTCTTTATTTCATCATCATAAAAACTATTCTTGGAGGACTGATATTGTGGTACAGTGGGTTAAGCCTTCCCCTGCGATGCCAGCATTCCATATGGGTGCCAGTTCCATTTCTGGTTGCTCCTCTTCTGATCCAGCTGCCTGCTAATGCAGGGAAAGCAGCAGAAGATGGCCCAAGTGCCTACCCCTCATGTAGGAGACCAGGATGGAGTTCCTGGCTCCTGGTTCCTGGCTCTGGCCTGGCTCAGCTCCATCCATTGCAGCCTTTTGGGGAGTGAACGAGTGAATGAAGATCTCTCTCTCCCTCCCTGTGTAACTCTGCCTTTCAAGTAAATAACTAAATCTTATTTTTTTTAAGAAAAGTCATATTTGTTATTTATTTCCGCAGAGGTAGCATCAGTAATGGCCAGTTTCTGGGGGACAATTGGTCACTCCCCAAGGCAGTTAAGAAGCCCAGCTCTGCCTGCATGGACACCTCAGATACTCACACAATGGCAGCTTCTTGCAGGGGGCATCCTGGTGGTCACAAGAAATTGTGTCAGAATTGTCTTTCCGAATGGAATGCAAAAATGGATGTGCAAACATTGCGTGAGTGTATGCTGCAGAACTGCTGCATTCGGACTTAAGGACTAAAAAACATGAACATAAAAGGAAAAACTAATTTTTCAGCTTAATAATGGAGAAAATGAATGTTGATGTTATTTCTGATTCCATCCGTGTACTTTTTTATAAGTCCCAAAGAAATACCTCTTCTTTGGGGAGAAAAAATAAGTCAACGTCTAAAGTGTATGGAGAGGGAGAGCTGTTCCTGACGGCAGTGACCTCAGCTACCCTCGGGCCGGCACATGATTAACCTCAGAAAGAAAGTTCAAGCAGGCTTCTTCCTGTTTGTCAAAACTGTGCATATGAGGGTACTCCAAAAGTCTAGGGAAATCCAGATTAAAAATTAAATTCCTGGACATGCAAAACAATTTTGAAATGATGCTCCCCCCTCCCCTTCCCCGAATACGTGTTTTCCACAAACTTCTCCAAGAGCCTCATTGGTTTGTGTTTAGAAAGTTCCCCTCCGGCCCACACTGGGACATACAGGGCTTGCTCATTGTGAAGCCTGCACTTCCTCATCCCTGCGGTGGGAGAACAGTACCAGTCTCATGGGTGGGAGAACAGTACCAGTCTCATGGGATTGTTGTGTGCGGGTGCACCCCAAGCTCCTGGCCCCAGGCCTGGGACAGACAGACTGGATAGTCAGTAAACATCTACTGAAGAGTAAATGTCACACATTCTATCCTTTCTCTCTCTTTTTAAATTTTTATTTATTTATTTATTTGAAAGAGTTACAGAGAGAGAGAGAGAGATCTTCCATCTGCTGATTCACTCCCTAGATGGCCACAATGGCTGGGCCTGGGCCAGGAGCCAGGAGCCTGGAGCTTCCTCCTCTATGGGTGGCAGGGCCCCGAGCACTTGGATCATCTTTTGTTGCTTTCCCCAGGCCATTAGCAGTGAGCTGGATCAGAAGTGGAGCTGCCAGGATCTGAACCGGTGCCCATATGGGCTGCTGGCATCGCTGGCAGCAGCTTAACTCACTACGTCACGACGTGAGCCCCTCACATTTTTTTTTTTTTTTGGCAGTGTCTTTGCTTGCATTGCCCTGTTTCTTCCTCTGCCACTGTTATCCAACTTCTACCCTTATTTCAAGGCTGGGTTTAACTTTA